ACATGGTACTTTTTCTTCTCCTTGAGGAGAGTCCTGAAGGTGGTGATATCATCCCAACAACTCAACGAAAGAGACATCTCGTGTCTCTTACATATGTGGAAACAACCCATATCATAGAGTAAAAATATGAGACAATATCTCACAGCGTAACTGCATTCAAGGTAGAGTCCAGGTCCTATGCGAACAACATCTCCCTCAAGAGTGTGGTTATAGACAGTCAACCGCTAGTGAGGTGCCGAGCAAAGTACTTGCTCTCCTACCCTTCTTTGACCATCTCCTTCCAACACGACCAAGACCGGAGCCAGGACGGCGTTCATCACTCAATCTTGATCTGATGTGTCCGTTTTCGAGCCAGCACCTTATACGCTGAGTGCTCATCTACCACTCGATCATGATCCTCTTTCCCAACTGTCAAAAGAGGACAGCTCCTCCGTCTCACACATCCCCACGAATACTGTAATGTTGTACAATGCAAATCGATTTCCTTTCTTTTTCCCGAACCAGACCAAACCAGCCAGCCAGCAAAAGTACAAAAAACTCCTTCATTACCCCTAAACCTAAGGCGTGTGTTGCTTTGATGTGTCGCAAGCAAACAGACATGATGAAATCGTGTTGTGAAAAGCTCTCTCTCTCTCTTCCCCCTCCTTCGCCTTTCTCTAAGCAAAGAGCTCCCGGGTATCCAAGACGTCCTTCTCCTTCTTCGCCTGGGCCGTGAGGGTCTCGAGCTTGCCGAGCCTCTCCTTGACCTGCTCCACCCTGGCGTTGTGCCTGGTCGCCTTGGCCTTGCGCAGCTCCGAGCGCACCTGGTTGGGCGAGATAAAGCGCTTGTTCTCGTAAATGATGGGGCCGCCGAACGCGCCCTCCTGTATGATGATGGGCGTTAGGACGAACCGGGGTCCGATCTCAACCAGGCTGACGTCTGTGTCCTTGAGCTCTGCGTTGGGCGCGCCCTTTCTCTTTTTCGATGATGACTTGTCGCTCTCGGGGACAATGTCGTTTCCTTCGCTGTCCTTCTCGCCCTTGGCCTTCTCCACCTCCCGGATCTCGTAGTTGCGCACCCAGATCTTGCCGTCGGCAATGCTGAAGCTCATGACGTGGTCGATAAACGGTTTTGACTTGCGCGCGCCCTGGGGGACGCCAAACATTTGCAGGAACACCTCCTTGATGACGCGGTAGTGCGGCTCTTGCTCGAAGGCGAGGTCGAAGGAGAGGAGTGGCCTCGAGCCCTTAAGGCAGTTACCTGTGAAGTGAAGCTCTTCCATGGTGTGCACTGTGCTTTTTGTTAGAACCCAATTCTTCCTCTTTCACAATGCGTATCGCGGATATGGGCCGTGCTCACAGTTTTGGGCGTGGAACTTGACCGTAGGGCCATTGGGAACCTTGCTAAACCACATGTACAAATCCTTGCCCTTGCGCGCCTCGAAGAACATGACGTTGTTGCAGTTGTAGAGCTCGGCAAGCTCGTTCAGTTGGTAAAGCTTGGACTTGGAATCGAACTTGACGTCTTTGCGGCCGTGGGGGAGCATCGCTGCGAGATCGTTGAGGAGATGTCTGTGTCTATACTCGGAGCGCAAAAGCAGTTAGCAATTGACCCTTCCTTCTTCCATCTTGCAGGTATGCAGGGTCCATATGTACCTGTAGGTAACGCCTCTGGACGAGAGAATCAGAACTCTCTGCTTGTTCTTCCGGAAGCCGCCATTGGTGGTGGTGTTGTTGTTGTTCTCCTCCGCGTCCTCGACCTTCTTGGCGCTCTTCGAGAGCGACTTGTAAACGGCGGCCATTTTCCTTTTGTTCTTGTCGTTCTTTGGGTATCAAAATCGGGCGAAGTACAAGGGTGACTGAAGTCGGTGGTTGTGGTGGAAGTGATGACAGAAAAACGAAATGCGGATTGCAAAGGTGAATTCAATGCTCCAATCCACGAACGTCGCGGGCGAAGCGCAGTGATGGAGTGCAGGCTGTTCCATCTCAAAAAAAGTTCGCCGGCCAATCGCAGCCCCACTCCGATAAGCTTCTCTTATCTTCCTGCTAGCGTCCCTGTCCCGTCCCCCTGCTTGGAACAGCTGAATGAAAGGCGGTCGGCGGTCTGGGCAACCCGCATTTGTCCCACTGATGGACCCAACCTGGAATCCGGACCCCCAAATTCTGGGGATTCCATTGCCTACACAGTCCAAGTTCCACGCGTTCTTCTTGTCTGCCCTAGAGGTACAGTGGGGGATGGGACTGGCCTCTTGTCCGCACTCAAACCCACTTCAACCGCCTCGGGTGACGCGATGGGAGTAGGTAATGGCAGTCACCATAATCCACCAGGCAAGCCCAGATGTCTTGATTTGTGTTGACTCTTCCCCGCTGTTGCACATAACCAATGTCATGACGAGACCCTGCACGATTATCGTTACGTACTCATTGTCCATGTACTCCTCTCCTCCCACATTGTGGATGCAATAGATGGAGACCTTGACAACTTGGAGCCATATATACCAGGTTGAGTTAAGAGCTGTTTATCGCCCATAGTTCATTTCAACTAAATAATATCTTTCATAACCCATGCGCAAGTGATGGCTTCGTTAACCACATTGAGGAAAATTCCAACGACCAGCACGGGGGGAAAAGGGAAGAAAGGGGTAGTAGTAGTAATAACAACAAAAAGGAAAGGCTGGAAGACGAGCATCCTTTCCCCCCTCCCCAAAAGCCCAAAAATAAGAGAGAAAAAGAAAAACAGACCATCCCATCGGCGACCGTGATGTAATAAGACTGGGTAGGATCCGTCCGTACTTTTCCCCCGATGCTGCTCTTCATTGTTCATCATAAGCCTCCCATTGCTTCATGTCAGACATATGTGACGCCGTTGTTGGTTCGGCACCCTGTTGTACTCTGCTGCACCCTGCATCTCAACCCTTCGGGGCCACTCGGTTCCCGGCCCGCAGAATCAAGCACCTCCTAACAGCAGCCAGACTTCGCCTGGGGGTCGTTCGCGGTCTGACTGAGCGAGATGCTCTGGCCAGACAGGTTTTGGTGGCCCTCGTTGGACCCGCTGGGGCCGTTGTCGAAGTTCTTGGTCGACACGATCTTGTAGATTTCTAGATAAATGATCGCATGTTAGCGTTAAGCTCGCGCCACAGCAGCAGCTGTAGGCTTTGGGCAAACGTTACCAGTCAAAATGTTTTGGAACGCGAGCTCGACGTTTGTGGCGTCGAGAGCCGAAGTCTCGATAAAGGATAGGTGGTTTTCCTCTGCGGTTCTCTCTGTCAGTCATCCTGGCGATACGGCTTTCCCGAGCGACAATGTCGTCATTGCTGTGACGCGCAAACGTACCGGCAAACTTTTTGGCGTCCTCCGTGGGCACGGCTCTCAGATGCCGCAAATCGCTCTTGTTACCCACGAGCATGATGACAATGTTCTGGTCGGCATGGTCGCGCAGTTCCTTCAGCCATCGGTTCACGTTCTCAAACGTCACGCCCTTGCTGATATCGTAGACGAGGAGGGCGCCGACAGCACCGCGGTAGTAGGCAGAGGTGATGGCGCGATAACGTTCCTGGCCGGCAGTATCCCAAATCTGTGCCTTGATTGTCTTGGAGTCGACCTGAATGGATCTGGTGGCAAACTCGACGCCGATGGTGGACTTGGAGTCGAGGTTGAACTCGTTACGGGTGAATCGACTGAGAAGGTTGGACTTTCCGACGCCCGAGTCTCCGATGAGGACCACTGGTAGCGGGATCTGCAGTCAGTAACTGATTTGCCGCCGCCGTCGTCGTCGCCGCCGTCATCGCATCGTCGCGACTGCTTCAGAGCTTCTGGGGAGGGGTATGCTTGCGGTACCTTTGAAGAGAAACTGTGACAGTCAAAGGCTGGTCAGCGCAAGCGGACGGAATAAAGGGGGCACGTCCTAACAAGGATATCGAATCGACGCAAGATGGATGATAGGCAGGCGGACGGCAAGAAAGAGGAGGCGGGCTTACATCGTACTCGTCGTTGGCCATGGTTGCGGTGTGTGATGAATGACAGAGGTGCTGGAGGCAGAGGGTATGCTGGAATTCGGCGAGCTGGTGATGGGCTGAGGCAATGTCTGGCAAGTGGTTGTCGCGTTGATAGTTGTACTGTATGCAGACAAAGTCAAGGGCAATGCGATGTATGTGAGTTCGGGTTCGATCAGTGGTGGTGTCCAGGAGAGGCAGGGCCAAGGAGGGCGGTGCGGCTCCCCTCGAGTGGGTCCGAGTTTTTAGCTAAGGTACCTAACCAAGTGCAGCCAGCCAGAGGGTGCTGCAGTGCCCCTGAAGGGAACGAACGAATGAATGGAATGCCTCTGCGCCTGAAGTCACATTTGCAGTGAGCCACGGCCCCCTCCATGGGCGGGTGAAGAGACCGGGCTGTCAATGGACGCGGGCTAGACGGCGTAATATTGGAGGGTCAAAGAGCTGCGACAGTAGCGTTAACGGTGGACTAAGTCTAATGCCCTGGTGCGGACAGCGGTGGGCCAACAATCCAGGGATCGCGGACGGCTTTTGTCTACCTACCTCTACTATCCCAGGACAATGGAGATGACCGTTTTGTTTGGGCCAGTAAGGTGGTGGTTGGGTGTCACGGGCACTGGAAGCTCTTTCAGGTATCAAGCGCCATTCAGGCTACCATGGAAGTACCGTTGAGGTCTTTACCTTCCTCTACTATCTACCTCTAGAGGGAGGTCTCCTTTACTTGAGGTTTCCTCGCGACAATCAGTCAAGATGACGCGCCCCGAGGAAGAGACGAGACATGGACGACATCGAGCTATTGACCTTTGGCAATTCCACACATCCGCCGGCATTGCGGTGACCATGCTCTGGAATACATTAACTTGATGTGTTCTAAGAAAACCCATCAACCCTTTCATGGCTTATCCTTTGTGTTACTGCCCTCTCTTTCCCATTTTCACTTCCTCGTATGCGCTCTTCCCAATCCCTCCTGTCTATGACATTCAATGAGCTGCCAGCCCCCCCTTGGGACCTCCACTTACGCCCTTTTACTAGGTATCGACTTGCTACTTCAATACCAGCTGTCTTCTCCCGTCTTCCTACCTTAGCCAAGACCACAGCTAGGTAGATGGAATGGCCGAAAAGGGTTCGTACATACCTAGTACACAGCTTACTTTCACGTGCATAGACGGGCACGAACGGATAGCATAGAGGTACGGAATCCACATAAGCGTAATAGTCCAAACACAGTAACCATCCAGGGATTGGCATGGTCTCTGTCTCTAATATCTGGTTAAATATCTTTATTCATTTCTTCCAAATCCAACTGTATTGACAGCAATAACGGCGCTTAGTGTGCTCATTCGCTTGCAACTAACCAAGCACATTCTTGTCCCTAGAGCAGATCTAATACATTGTTGGTACACTACACAGGTGTAGCGGTGCCAAATCAAACAGCCCAAGTTGATTTCAACAACGAAGCATTGGATATACTCAGGGGCACTTAATGGCAATACCAAAGCTGTGCTTCCACACTGGTTGACGACCTTCAGCCAACACCGCGGTCACTCTTGCATTTTTCCTGTGTCAATGGCTCTTTCTTTGCACCTTCCCTATTCTGATTCTACTAGATACCGTTCGTCTACCTCCACTGAATGGTACCTGACACTACGGGAAATAGTGGGCCACTCAGTCCAAACCCCACCTTCACCACCACGTCCAGTCTCGTCTTTGTTCATCGCGTCCAAATTCCTTCCTCGTTTTTTTTTCACAACTTTCCGTCCCATGGAAAACCCCTTCTTCCAAACATCCATCTTCAATCGTCCTAAAACATCGTCAGAAAAGGAGGTTCAGATCAGAAACACTTGTCCAAATACTGCGTTCTTCCAAGTCCGCCGGGGCACAAGGTACATGGCAATATTGTCGCCAATCATCATCTGAACGTCATTTTTTCGAGTTTACGCATTATGTAAACAATTCTCAGTTTACCGATCAAGCAACCTGACAACTTTCAGTCCCTCAACGGATATCTGATATTTTGTTGATTTCATACCACACAAAACCACATCGAGTCATCGAAACTTTACAAAGTAGTGCGTCTACTTGGCAGTCATTCAGGCAACGCGAATAGCTACGTGGCTACCACTGCAAGGACGCCGAGTGACGGACATGGGAGCTATGAGCCCTCTGCTGCTTTGAACCTCGGCCTCGAAAGTTGTAAAGATTACAAATTGGCCGCCTGTTTCTCAATCCTGCCACTTTTTACAGTCCTCAAAACCCTCAACATGTTTAAAAATGTGGGCCGGAGAGTGTCGAAAGACTCGACTCACTCGACCCCTACCGTCGAAGATGAGGATGACAACATATCTCTAGCTTCAACAGCGTCCGTGCAACACGACCCAGATGAAGAATTCGAGGTCGAGGATATCCTCTTCGAGGAACTAGACGATGATGGCAAACAAGTCTATCTAATCAAGTGGGAACGCTACCCGCTAGAACAATGCACTTGGGAGCCCGAGGACAACCTGGGTGACGAACTCATAGAGATGTGGAGGGAGAAGCAACTGAGGCAGGAGGCCGGAGAGGAAGAGCCATTTGATGTGCGAGAGTTCCGTGCAGCCGTCAACAAGGCTAAGAAGGCAAAGGCCGACCGTCATCGCCGTCGCAACGCGAAGCGGCGGAAACTGGGTCTCCCGTTGACCGAGCCCTTCGATAGCTCAAGCTCGGAATCAGACCTAGACATTGTCAAGGCCGAGTCCTCTGATGAATCCAGTGATGAAGCTTTGGAGCAAGAGGAACCCGTCTCCAAGGACGATCGGGAACCACGCTCGGCTCAAGAGAGTGGTGCACGCCCGCAATCAGAGCAAAAGCCCAAGCAAAAGATATTCAAAGGCATCGCTCAACCTGTACCCAAATCGGCCAAGACTGCCGCCACTACACGAGAATCGACCTTTCTCGAGCCCAAACCCAAAGCCTCTTCAAAATCCAGTTCCAAAGCCCCTGAAAGGCCTTCCCCGCCGCAACCGTCGTCCTCCAAGCCTCGACCTGAGCGGAATTTTGTATTGACAACTGGCTACCAAGGAACTGCGAGGAAGCCTGTGGATAAAGCACGACCTAGTACTCCAAACGGGTTGACTAGGCCACTGCCCCAATCAACCCGTACCGCTCCTCCAATTGCGTCTCGACCTACGTCTGCTGGCGTCCGAAAGCCTCTGACTGCCAAAAGAACGGCCGTTAAGAAGATGGTCAGCGTCAATATCTTTGCAGCAGGCAAAGTTAGAAAACCCCGACAGAAGTTGGAGAAGGCTATGTCAGACCCAACCAAAGATCCAAAGCAGTTTAAAATGCTTAGTCAACGCCGGTGGGCTGAGAAGAAGAGCAGGGATACGGAGGATCGTCCTCCCGATCTATCGACAGCGAATATTCAACTCTTCAACATCAGACAGATCCCAACAGAAAGAAAAACCTCACTAAGCACAACCACGTCATCAAGCACGCCTATTCTGGCCCCAGGTGGTCAAGTGACTAGGACACAGGTCGAAATAGAAGCCGAGAACACAGCCGGGCTTGAGCTCAGCTCGGACGAACCGGCACCCGTGAACAGCCAGGAACTGTCTATTCGACCCAGGGATCCGCCCAGAAGGAAATCTGCTTTGACAAAATCAAAACCCGATGGAGGACAACCCAAGGAGCGCAAATCCGTCCGCTTCGTGCCTGGCCATGATGAGACCACAATTCCTCAGGAACGGGAACAGATGGATGTTGATGGGATGTTTGTCGAGCCTGTTAATACAACGCCAACTACGCCCACAAATTCGACGGCTCACAAGCGCATACCTAGTCCAGATCCGCCGCCTGCTACTGCTTCTGCCGGCGAGTCCGATGACGGGGTGCGAAGGGGAAATCTGAACAAAAGACTGCTGATCGCCGAGATCCCCCCTTTTGAGGTCACATTTCACGATGTGCCGCGAGATACCCATCAGTTGTGGGCTGCACATTTCGGCAACCAAAAGTCGCTAGAGATTCGGCTAAGTTGTTTCGCTGAAACAGCAGTGGCAAAATTGAAGCCTCCCTTGTTCCAAGAGTGCCTGGCCAAAGGGCCTATAACGTCCGAGAACAAAGAAGCTATAGAGAAGCTTGCACAGCAGCTTAAGGCGCGACTGCTCGGTCTTTACTACTCGGGTCGGCATTACAACCTTCTCATTTATCCCACCAAATGTGAGCAGTGGCAAACTAAATTGTTTGGCCAGGAGGTAGCAACTGGCTTGACTGCAGCGCTCTGTTATACTATATTCTCATCAGATATTGACTGTGGAACTATGCTCCGACCGCTCAGTCTTCCGCTACATTTGCCAGAAACGAATAGAAAGGCAGTGCCCACCAGGACGTGGCTGATGAGGAGACTGTACAAATTCGATTACAATCAGCTATTACCAAGAAAGCCGGAGATTCCACAGATACACAAGTTCTTTCTCGCTTTCCCCGAGTCAGGAACTGGAAAAGCTACCCGGTCAGTCGTCTTTCAATGGCTGCGCTCTTCCAATCCCGCCTGTCACGTATACATATCTAGTCAACCAGGCTCTTGGGATGCATTCAGAGCCAGCGTAGCCGAGTCATCTGGTGTTGTCATCATCCACGAAACGTTGGTGTGGAGTCTTCGCCGGTTTCCAAAGCTTTCCGAGTACCTGGTCAAGAAATACGACGAGTATTGGTGCTTTACGGAGCCAACCGAAGCATATCCCTTATATCCGTCAATGTCCTTGCCGGAAAGCGTCCCCCCCGGGATTAGTCAACTGACACGGATATTGCCATTCGGAACAGCAATTCTGCTCACACCCAGCTTTCTGGTATCCGAGCCTGAACACGCTCGTGAGTTTCTTGATTGGTTTCTCAGCCGCCAATCGAGTTCCACCTTTTACTATAGTCTGGTGACGGCCTCCAACATCCATGAGTACCTTCAAGATTTGGCATTAGAATGCATCGATTCGCGCGAGAGGTGGTGGAACGCGGGACCGAGCCTTGGGATGACTCCTATTGAAACCCAGTTCGAGATCAACTTGCGAGGACATAGCCTTGACGAATGTGAATCTAGGCTTCAAGCCGGCATCATTGCTTCTGAACTTCACAGAGTACGCACCAGAAAGCTCGACTCCTCCGGTGGAATGGAGGAGGACCACAGCCCGCTCATCTATGCGGATCCGTCCATCGACCCAAATGACGAGCAAAGCCTAGTCAACTGGTTCGGCTGGTGGTCAACCCTGCGGGCTGATCAGTTCCGAAAGTTCCATGTTGTTGGATCGTGTACCAGTATTGGTTATCCAAACACCAAGAAGGGAATTCGGACGGTCCGCATTCCCAAATATCTTAAAACAACAATCAATGACCCAGACGCGGTAGCAGAGGTTGTGCAGGACGAAGCATCGCAGAATCTCCAGGTACCAGCACACGAACTGCCTCCCAGCAAGCCACCAAGTGCGGCGCGTAGTTTGGAGTTGACTGGCCCCTTCAAAAGCGATATACCGGGCTTAAGCAATGACCGTGGAGAGACTCTTAAAACATTCCTTTTCAGCAACTTTTGTAATTCCGGTCCGAAGCCCAAAATGCGGTTTTACGGATATCCTGTGACGTGGACTGATTCGGAGATGGCGAGATCCTACGGCGATTTGATGCTCAGGTACAACCAACCGATCAGCCAGTGGTTCAGTTATACATGGCCATTCGACAAAACCTTCAACACTTACATAGGCCTGTTTTATACCATTTCCGAGGAGTGGGATCCCCAGAAGCCTCCACAAAACCCGAATCCTAGGTGGCATCCTTGGCTTGCGATTTACAGGCCTGTCAATGCCGATATTTTCCCCTACCGACGGTGCGAGGTTATCATATGGGACCCCCTCGCGAGGAAGCGGTTTCCGGGCTCACAGGCACCGTTAGAAAGGGAGCTCGCTCATATGCAACGGCGTGTCATTCAGTATGTCCGTGAGCACTGCGGAAATAAGAATAGGGGTACGTACCTCGACCAGGTTTGGCTCGGCGGGTTCAACTGCCCCAGTGAATGCGAATCTCCTTATCCGCTCGACATGACGTTGAAATTCGCCAGAACAGTGATGCAAGATATTGGAGAACATCTTCCACCAGCGGAGCAGCGGTTGCCGGAAAAGGGTTTCAGGAAAGTTTTAAAGGAGCACCCGCCGGCGCTAGATACGATGAATGGCGGAGGTCTAGATAGCGACGACGACGTTCTCATGGATGTCGATAGCAACGATGGCTGGGAAGACGAAGACGAAGATGTGCGCATCATCTTCCATCCACCTCGAGGCACCAAGCTCTCCCCTGGTTCCCGCTCAAAGTGCACCAATAGGCTCTACGAGGAGGCACGTCTCGCCAGGGCCAGGTCCTCTTCGGACCATATGGAGTTCAAGTTCGTCCCAACGCTCAAGTGGTACGAGGACCAGGTCGCGGAGGGGCGCGGCTTTGAACACATTAACATCCAGTCGTGGCAAGACATCTTCAACATCTTCCAAGTAGGAAAGGCGAAGGGTAGCAAGGTGACGACAGCGACGGGAGCGGCGAAGGCTCCGGTGACGCGTGGAGACAGAGAAGGAGATGTTCAGATGACCGGCTAAGGAAGCGGCAAGTCGGAGACGTCAACTACTACGAATACGTCCAAGGAAAAGTCGCAGCTGGTCGTACACAAAGGTGTGAGATTTATCCGCTCTAGGTGCCCGCATCGAGTTACGCCTTGGCATCTATCAAAAGAGAGCAAGATACAAGCAGTTCTCAAGGGCAAAGAGCGGCAGCGGGAGGGTGGTGGTGGATGTATGGCCGCAAGATCAGGCGTTTCAAAAGCAAGGGCGGCTGGGACGAGAGTCACGTTACAATCGTTAACAAAGTCCGATATGAACGTTTCCTCTGTGTAAGGAACATTTCTACAATAAGCTTGGCTCTGGGCAATGGGTGGAGGATAGAGGTGGTGTTCTTGTATGCTTGAGACGGTGGAACTTGTAAAAGTTACAGGAGAAGAATGGTCAGAATTCGTGTACTCAAAACATGGATATAGTTCGTTGTATGGGGAGGCGTTCAGGACCACGAGTGTCAATTATGTAATTCCCTTGTTTCAGACACTTCAACACCACCAGCCAGTCGATGTATATATAGTTGCCTTACAACTCGGTACCCACCCAATTCTACTCCCTTCAACTTCCGCAACGCAAAGATTTATAACCAACTCTTTTCTTCACGCAAGACATCGTATCCCTCTGCCACCTCCTTGTCAGTCACACCCCCAACATCACTGCCCCTTAGTTCTGCGGCGGGACACCAAACCGTTCAGCAAACGGATCATATCTCCAATCCATCACCGGCTCATGCTCTATCGCTCCAGCAATCAAATTGGCCATGTCCACTCCGTCCGGGTACATCTGCCTGACGAATTCGAAGGTCAAGTCCAAACCCGCCGTGACTCCTGACGAAGTCCAGATGTTACCATCAACCACCCATCGAGCTGGCGAGACCCTGTTTCATGACACTGTTAGCAAGAAGCTTCTCTTTTCAAAAGCCCCAATACGCCCAATCCAACCTAAGAAGAAAGAGGAACAGGTAACAAGTACCATAGAAAGAAAGAGAAAATATATGGGAAAACACACCACTTAACCTTGTCTCCCAAAGGCGTCACCTCATCCCAAACCATCTTATTCGTAGTCGCCCTCCGCCCATCCAGCACGCCCGCCCTAGCCGCCACCGCAGCACCAATGCACACCGTCACCAAGTACTTATCCCTTTTTCCTCCTCCTTTTTGCTTGCCCCCGATCCCAAACTCCACCACCATCCTCCTCAAAAAGTCCAGCTCCCGACCTTTTCCTTCCAAATCAGGACTGTACACCCCATCGCCGCCGGGTACGATTAGCACATCCACGCTCTCCAGCACCTCGCGCATCTCCTCCCACTGCTGGTCCGTCGTGGGAATCGGATGGGTGGGGTTGAAGGTCGGGTAGAAACTGCTGTTCAGAGGGTTGTTGTTGATGGGCGACGATGCTAGTAGACTCGGGGTAGTGAGGACAGGTGCGAGACCGGAAGAGTATGGGGCTTGGAGGGAAAAGATGAGGAGACGTAAGGGGTGGAAGTGGCCGACGAATTGAAGGATTTCAATGGGTCCGTAGGCGTCGAGGATCTCGAAGGTGGGGAAGAGCAGGAGGGCGTAGGTTTTGGGGGTTGGGTAGGTGGTTGAGTTGCTGTTGGTGTTGTTGGCGGGGGTTGGGAAGGGGTTGGTGGGCTTTGGGTTGGTTTTGGGTAGGGATTTGAGGAGTTCTAGGTTGGATTTGTGGTGGGGGAGGATGGCGGCGGTGGTGAAGTGGAGGTGGATGTGGGTGAGAATGGTGGTGAGGATGGAGAGGCGCATCTTGGCGGTTGGAAAATCGTCTGTTGATGGTGTCGTTGTCGTTGTCGTTGTCGTTGGTGTTTGGGGTAGTGGGGTGGTTGATGGCTGTTGTTGGCTTCTTGGAGCAGGAGATGGGAGTGAGTGAGTGATGCTTATATGTCTTTTCTTGTTCTCGACAATCTCCACGCGAAACTGAAGGGCAGCTTGTATTCACCAGCTTCCATGTTCATTACTAGACCAGCTGGATAGGAGAGATTCTACGTACGGTAGACTGAATCTTCCCAACGAGCTACCGAGCTGGCACTATCTTCATGCATGTCAGTTCCTTCCAACAAACGATTCGTCATGCATAGTCTTACAGCCAGCTCAAATCTCCTCATGAGGTCTCGCCTTCACACAGCAGCATACCTATCACGGTGGGTGACAGGCGACGAGACTTGGTGTTCATCTCTAGAAAACATTGACATGTGATGTTTGAGCAAGTATGTGATCCAAAGGGAGCAGTACTGACCAATTAGTTACACAGAAACTACGCCGGTTTCCCGGCATTCAACTGTGTCCCATATGAAGTTGTCCCAAGCTCCGATGTTCAACGGATGTAGACCTTGTCAGGCCGTCTCAAGCTCCGATGCTCAACGGGACTAGTAGTTGTCCTAACCTCCGATGCTCAACGGGACTAGAATTTCAGGCTGCCGTAAACTGTGGGATGTGAGCTTGTCCCCCGGGGTACCGAAACAGCGGGAGAAGATAAATTTCGCTTGTGTAACCTTTGACGCTGACATCCCACAGTGCTTTATAAGTTCAAGACCACACTTCCCAATATTGATAATCCAGAAGAAGCATAATACAGAGACGGACCGACATGTAAGATAGTAGATCACCATTAGACATAGACCTTGATTCGCTTACACTGGTACGCAAGTCCAAAACGCAGGTAAACATGTCTCATAAGTGCTCAGTTTCATAGACGGGACGCTAGAGAATGTCATGCGGGAAGCCGTCAGACATACCTTGACTAGAATCGATGCTCTGACTCTTGGTGTTGTGATATTGACGCAAGTTCCCTGCTTCAGTTCTGATAGTTTTTCATGATGATGACGGCGTCGTCAATCATGAGGATGTGGTGTCAAGGCTATCAGGAGGAAAAGCTGCCGCCCACCAAAACCGCCTGCCAAGATTGTCGGGATTAAGGCTATACCTGTCGTCTCACGCTCAAGAAGAGCTTCATCCGATCTCCCTTTCATCACATCTTCCACCCTTCCAGGTTTGCACACCAGCCACTACCAACTGACTTATCTACCGCCCTATGTCCGTCCATCCTATTCCAAATTTACAACTTCCTTTCAGTAACGATGAGCCCGTTTCTTGGTTCAGGTTGTTTGAAGGTTTGGATTGGAGAGATTTGGGGTGGTGAACGGTGAACCACTGGGAGAGAGTACCAACACGTTCCGAACCGGCCGAACTTTGTAAAAGCAGGCCTGGTGGAAGTACTACATCTACTTGGGTGGTGGACGGTTTATCGCACGGGACCGACTGAATATACCTTTTCTTGCGTTTCTTTGTGTTCGTTTCGGATGTCGAGTCCATGCAAGTTCTTCTTCCTTCGTCTCTGCGTGTTCACGATAAAAGCATCAGCAAATGTTGAGTGGTGTTGAGATATGGTCCATGGTCACAAGAAGGAAGGACGACAGTGTGCCGGCATTCCTGCCTACTCTACCCACGTGCTGCCCAACAGTGCACGACCCACCCAGCGGGGACCTCAGCACCTTCTAGATCCACTATCGGCTGACCGCCTAAAAGTTGACAACATCGCAGCCTAGGTAAGCTAGGTGCTGCTGCTCCTCGCTGTTCGGCGCATTGCTAGCCGTACGTCATTTTGACTTTTGGTTTTGTTTCCGTCTACAATCTCTCACCTGATCCTTCAACAACCATACTCCCTTTCATGTTTCCAAAGTCGAACGGTCTTAATTGATACCAACCTATTACCGTACCTACCTCTACTGGAAAATAACACGGCGAGTCGTTAATCATCGGCTCTGTTCCCACCAAGCATCGACGAATTTCAAAACACCAACCTACACACATACCTACCTACCATCACATCCCGCGACATCCGAACCACCACCACCAGTCAAGGAAAACATGGCCCGCAACTACTTCTCCCCCTACGCCCCCCGTCGGCGCTCCAACCGCATGGTTCTCATCTGGGTTACCCTCTTCTTCTCCATCATCTTCTTCATGTGGTGGATACAAACTCGTCACCACGACGCCGCACGCGCCTACGCAGACTTGCTTGTCCGGGGCCCGAGGATGGAAGGGGATAATGCGAGGGGTGGGAGAATTTTGGAAGATGCGTAAATGAAAAGACGGAAAAATCATGTTCCAAAACATGTCCGGAAGGAGGGAGGTAGGGGGGGCTCACACATTTGTTGTCAGTGGCGATCACCTAGGCCGGAGAACGAGGGGAATCCCCCTTTTTTTTGGATGAGGAAAAGGATGATATGGATGGGGTAGCGTGGTTTGAGCACGGAAAAAGGGTCGGCGGTGGTGGTGGAGTTGGAAGGGTGGGAGAGAAAGCTTCGTTGCAGAGTCTCAGAGACCTCAGCAAGCGGAGAGGGGATGACGACCAAGATACCCACGATATCAACATAGCAAGAAAAGCCGGAAAACGAGAGAGACGACTTCTGGTGGTTGGGTTAACAATCTCTAGAGGAGGAGTTGGTGGGCGAAGCACCCAATTTCTTGGCCAGAGGTCATGGCCGGAAAAGAACGCGTTTGGCTCTGGCGACGAACGGACGGAGGCATTGAGGATTACGAAATGCGTATACCGAGAGACACAACAGGAAAGTAATGTTTTATTTTGGGTTTGACAACCCGGCGATCATTTGCTCTCTCACTTCCGTGCCAAAGCAGTGACTTACGGTATTCTTTTGATCGGACATTCCAGTGACCTACATCAACCAGTGGCCATGCTTTTATCGTGGGCAGAATGTTTACAAGTGCATATTTTCACGGCAAACGGTAATTCAGCGGGATCACGACTCGACGAAAAGATCTACATCTTACCTGTGCACGACGCTAGAGGGCTCGTCCCGTGTCAGCGAGTCCAATGAACTTGAAGGTAGATGATAGAATAAAAAGGGTTGTATGCACCTTGTTTCGTATAGTATAATCCAAACAACCATCTCTCGACGCTCCGAATCCCAGTCGTAAGTGATATCAAGCTTCCACGTCATCCCTTACGCCAGCCGAACACCAGCTTCCTTGCGCTTCTTACCCTGGTGTGACGCCGCCGTGCTCATGCCAACGTTCTGACTAGCATCAAGGAAACTCTGCGCCATTTGTTTCTTCTTCGCCTCCTGCTTCTTGAGCATCTTATCCGTCTTACCTTTTCCGCTGCCTTTACCGTGGAACTGGTGCGACAGCTCCTTGAAGGCCTCCTTCTGCCCGAGCTGACGGCCGTCCTCGCCCACATACTTGAGCTCAACAGTGGGTTTGTACGCTTCCCTGAACAACTGCTCCATGACGCGTGCCTGATGCTGTTCACGGATCGTGTTCTGTTGGCGCTGCCACTCCTCACGCTCGCGGGTCGACATCCGGTCGAGACGGCCGCTGGCACGATCACGCTCACGCTGGATACGGGTCTCCTCGTCGAACTTCTTCATGAGGCGGGCGAGTTCGGCCTTGAAGTGGGCACTTTCGCGGAAGTTCTTGACGAGCTCTCCGCCGCGGGACTCGGCGTCGATGAGGCGGCGGTCTTTGAGCAGGGCGAAGGTTGCGGCCATGCCTTGGGCGACAAGCTGTTCTTCTTCGACACCGGTTGTGGGAAGCTCAGCGGTCGGCGATGTGGCCCGCTCAGACTGCCCATCCTTGTCGGCGTCTTCCATTTCCTCGTCTGATGATTCCTCCTCCATTGCTGTAACCGCTGTCTCTGTCCATTGCTGAGGCTTTGGCTTTGGTGCTTTCTTCTCCTCTTCGCGCTCTGCGTGGAGAGCATCAACGAACTCGCTGATTTCGTCGATAACGATACCTCCAGCCTCGGCGGCTTCCGGCTCGGGTTGGTTCGATTGTTCGCGCAGCTGTTTAGCAAGCTCTTCGGGTCGCGTCTTTCGCTTCTTCAACGCCGCGGATCTCTGGCGGGCCAAGGATTGTTGCAGATCGTCATCGTCGACAAAGTCTTCGTCAAAAGTCTTCCTCTTTTTCGTGTAGGTCACAGCCTCCGAATCGATGTCCATCTGCTGCTCTGTGTCTGCTGGAGCTTCCGGCTCTCCTGGATATAGCACATCGTCATCGTCTCGTCGCCTTGTCGACTTGGTCTTCTTCTTTTTCGGCTTCTTAACTTTGACTTCGGAAGCATCCATGTAATCTGATACTGGTGCAGGGGCATCGTCTGTGGGCACGAACATTAGCATGAATCAAAGTATTTGGGGAAGAGGGCATAACATACCGAGCATATCCAGATCAACCGTCTGCCCCTTCCGCTGAACAGGCGCACTGTCTAGAATGTCGGCCAAGGAATCTGTCGTTGTCGTTGTCCTAATTGTCTGCCCAAGTGTAAAAGCTTTTTTCTTTTTGCCGCTGATTTCCTCGTCGTACTGTGACAGGATCGTTCGTTCGCCCGTCTCGTCAATATCATTGGGGTCGTAAAGCGGCTTCTTCTTCTTGAGGTCGAGTCTCTCGTTCAACTTCTCTCGCTCGCGCAATTCAATGTTTTCGAGCTCGTCCCCTTCTTCTTCGGCATCCAGCACGCCGGTATCTTTGAGCGTGAGAACCTGGTCGCCGCTCTCGAGGAAAGTGTCGATATCGTGGGCAACCTTGACACCGGCCAGATCCCTAGCTGTGTGCTCAGCCGCCGCCGCTGCCGCCGCCGCCGCTTCCTTCTCCTCCTCGGCCTTCTTTGCCGCCTCGATCTTCTTTTGCCGCTTTTTCTGGTTCTTAAGCCAAGCCTTGGCATCAAGCTCGTCGTCTTCCACGTCATCGGCTATGCCCTTGCCGTCGAGGATGGCGTTGCGCTGGGCCATCTCGCGGGCCTTTTTGATAGCGGCGGCTCTCTCCTCGCGCTTCTTCTTTGCAGCCTCTGCCTCCAGGGCTTTCTTGTAGTTGTCGTACGATGCGGCTTCGCGGGTCTCAAGGGTGCTGCCCTTGTCTTCGCCTTCGGGAGTGGGTGATCGAGCCTTGGGGGCCTCGCCGGGGACGGGCAGGGGCTTCATGCCCATTGCCCGTCGCACCTTGTTGAGCTCTTCGATTGACGCGGCGTCCATTGTAAGATCGGTTTTTGATGAGGATATGTGATGGTAGTGAGATGTCGCAAGTCGGCTAGGGTGCGGTCGTAGGTGCCGAAAGAGTCAAAATTCCGGGTCGCGTGTGCGAATGGACGATGCACAATGATCAGAGTAGTGACCTGGAGGTATGGACCGACAGTGAAGTGAAAGTTGCCAGTGAAATCGCTAGACGTCAGTTGAGGCTGACAGCGAGTGGCAGGCGAACAACAGAACTGAAGTCTGGGCCTGGCCGTAGGTACGTCTAGGTTACTGCAGTGAGGTGGCTGGAGCCATGCGATAAGATAAGGTAAACGGGTACCTAGTACCTACCTACGCAGTATCCACCAAAACTTGCAAGGCTGGCTTGGCATCCGATGCACAGACCCCACCTCCAAAATTTTCGTATATCAAGCGGGACGTCGCGCCCAACTCTTCCTCTTTCTCTTTTTTCTTCTCCTCACGGACCTGTGCCCAGCGCTCCTCTGCCGCCAGCTCGTGCTTGCACTTGTAGGTAGCTAGGGTTGAGTGCTGAGGCAGTTCGGCAACCAAGGAGCCATCCAGGACTTTACGTTCTTCCATGATGTCAATTTCCATCCGACAGGTCACCAGAAGAACCGAACTCCGGCGTGAACCTCGTTCGCCGCAAGGCTTGAGCTTGGGGAGCGCCGGATGATGTAGGGGAAGTCATATTCCAATCCGTTCGCCGAGGACGTCGTCCTATGAGGCTGGGGGAAACCATGACAATTGCCACATTTCCTGCCGTAAACACATGTGTTTTGATTGCTGCCCTCTCTGATCAAATGACGTTTAAAGCTTGCCCTTGTGAAGATGAGCAGTCGGGATTCGTACCGACATGTCAGATAATAATTCCATGTCCATCATCACTCTTGGAATTTTGGCATCAAGTCAAGCCAGCCCGATCCCCCGCCAATATGCTTTCACATGCGTAAATCGCTAGAACATGAGATGTTCAAATGTCCGTCTGCTGTGTTGCCAGCCAATCGTCTGACTTTGACCCTGACTCTCACATGTTTGGTGAAGTGGGATGTTCTGTCATCAAGAAGGACCGACCTGGTGTTGAGAAATTCACCATTTCGAGATAATGTGTTGACCTAGGGTAGCGTCGGCTTCCACTCACTGTTCACATCCGCGTATCGGAAACATCAGTTTCTTCACAGCTGGGAATTTCCGAGGTCGCGGCGTCTCGCCCCATACTGTAGTGTTCAACGGCCACCGTGGTTTTGGGAATGGAGTCAAGGCATCTGTATGTCCAAGTAAAACGCCGAGAGTTGAAACGTCAAATTTCCCAGTGCAAGTTTTTTGGGTCGGCCTTTTTCGGCGGAATCCCCATGTCAAACGTCCAGTTGCTACTGCACGTCACGCAAATAGTCTGGGTCCTTTCTCTTCAAGGTGCATCTTTGATAGGCACGTGGGTGATATGATGGTGCTTCCAGATCGTTCTTTGCGATCTGAAACTGTGAGACAGCTGTTGTCCATCAGTGTTCCCCGGCTCAACGGCGGCGTGACCGGAATTTCGTCAAGTTATGCCGGCCCTTGAGAGAACTGGCCATTGACATTAGGGAACAAGTCGTGTCATATGGACTGATGCTATTCCCAACCTGTGTAACTGTTGACCCTAACCCGATTTGATCTATTCGGCCTAGCTAGAAGAAACATATTCATACACTACATTTCCCACCTTTTGTGATGACTTCGATGGGCTCTGCTTCAAAAACGTAACTGGAACATGGTCGCCTACATAGTTCGGCATAAGTCGCACTCCCTCAATTCCGACGAATCCTGCGCAAAATCACCCCTGTCCTTAGCATAACCGGACTCCTTCCTGTTCCTGACACAACGGCCGCGAATGCAGATGCAGTCGGCACTCCAACGCAGTCCACCCCCAGATCTCACCCAGCCGCACTCCACGCTAGCCGAGCTGCCGGAGCGGGACCTCCTTTGTGAATTTGGGGAACAGGGGTCCTGTCATGTATCTGCCCGCAGCCAAGAAAGAAGAAAAGTCCGGGGGAGGTAAGGTTGCTCCGACATGCTTGTCTGCCCGACTTCGGTGTTCCAGGTTCCCCAACTTCACTTTCTATCCTCGGCATAGCGCCCGTCCGCGGTCCTTTTCCATCAGGCTTTTCAAGGCCTTTTCCAACGGCCCCAAGCCCTTCCCCCAGACGCCACAGACTGCCCCAAGATCGAGACGGCCCGATTTCGAAGGACCTCCTCGGCGGCGGCAGACCATCATTTGTCACAGTTTTGTCGGCCGGACGAGCTGACGTATGATGGAGACGCGCATCATTGGGCGTGGGTAGCAGTGATGGCGGAGAGGAAGAGAGACTCGTCCCATTTACAGCGAGAGGGTGATGTGCCCGTGGTTCGTTTTTGGCTGGCAAGACTTGCAAGACTAGTATCAGTATACCCTCCGCCAAGCTTAGGACAAGAGATGGAGAGATGCTAGAACGAGTATTCTCCGACGTGAGCCTCCGACTAAAAGATCGATATTCGTAACGATGGAGTGAGTACCTAGCGGGCCGTGATAGACACCATGTTTCTCCCAGTTCCAGACCATGGGTATGACAAAGCTCGCTTCACAAAGTACAAAGAGCATCACATTGCCATGTGTGCAGGTGTCAATAGGGAAGGGCGGAAAAGTCACGAGGTTTCATGGTGTTCCCATGACACTCAGAGGTGTAGTGTATAGTTCCCCGCATTATGGGGGTTTCTCCGCCATTACGAGATTATGGGGAAACCAAACCAAACTTCAGGCGCCAAAAGGGAAGATGTAACCTCTGCCCCATATGTACCCACCCGCCGCTTCCATTTCAGATCCCAGGCTGCAGTGCGCCGTGTCGGTGCAGATTTCACATGAAAGCTGAAGCAAGTCAAGTGAAAAATGCGCCATCCACTCATTTCCTTCACCATGAACACACCGACATGACTGACGGCAGTGACACTGACGCCTGCCTATGGCAGCCACCATTCATTTCTCGATGCGACGGTAAACGACGCCCGCGGCGAGATTAGGTCATTGCCGGATTGAAGCTCTCTCCATCATGGATCCATTCCCGGCCAATCTCGGCCAACCACACTGTCCACTCGCCCAGGTCAGCAGCTCAGGACTCTCTCCTGGTTTGGTACCGCTTAGTGTAGAGCATACCGCTCTCAGTCCCCATAGACCAACCATAACACCGCACGTTCTCTTTCACTCAAGAGCTTATCATGTCCCCTCTTTCTGCTCCAATGATTCGGACTGGTCAAATACCAGGAAACAAGGGAGAGAGCGCAGTGCGAGCAAGCGTTCCTGCAGATAGAGCAGTGGGACTGCCGCGCCACAAAGGAAGAGGATCGTGACGTGACGTGACCAGTGACCAGAAAGCAAAAGATCCAAAAGAGTCAAAAGGACCGAGCCTCACCTAATGGCCCGGATGGCACTCAAGACCGTCCTCTCGGCCCTTTCTCCAACTCTTCTCCTTCCATAATTCACCTAGGTACATACACGGCCTACGCTTCTGTCTCATCCCATCCCATCCCATCCCATCGACGACTCTAACCCGCGAGTGCAACCTCATCATCCACGAACGGACACCCCGGCTCTCCTCCGAAGCCCTTGCAAGTGGAAGCTGAGGTTGCCGAACTTGGACGACCAGGGTTCACCAGCCGGACCGCAACTCGAACGTCAGAATACAGGCCTCAGCCTCCAAAGGGGGTTAACGCCAAGCGAGAGCAAGACAAGATCGTCGCCCATCAACATCCTGGACAAGACAAGATGGACGCAATATATAACCTCAAGCAAGTCCTCCTCAGCAACCATGATTTCACCACCAGCCTGGTCTCCAACGCAACAGACTTCTCGACAAGTCCCTTGACCTACTTCGCCATGCATCTTGTCTCTTCGCTCCTCGTCGTGGGCGCCGCCTTTCAGGCCGTGCTCGGTCTGCCGGATCCTCTGCATGAGAAGAGGCACAGCGACATCATCAAGCGGTCTGTCGACTCTTATATCCAGACCGAGACTCCCATTGCGCAGAAGAACCTTCTGTGCAACATTGGTTCTTCTGGATGCAGAGCCTCCGGTGCTGCCTCTGGTGTTGTGGTTGCCTCCCCTTCCAAGTCGAGCCCCGACTGTAAGTGGAAATTGCACAGTGTGTCTCATCTCTCATGGCAGCATAGCTCACAGTGTCGATAGACTGGTATACCTGGACTCGTGATGCCGCCCTTGTCACCAAGCTTATTGTCGACGAATTCACCAACGACTACAACACCACTCTTCAGAACACCATTCAGGCTTATGCTGCTGCACAGGCCAAGCTTCAGGGCGTTAGCAACCCGTCCGGTTCCCTCTCCAACGGTGCCGGTCTTGGTGAGCCCAAGTTCATGGTCGACCTCCAGCAGTTCACCGGTGCCTGGGGCCGCCCCCAGAGGGATGGTCCTCCCCTTCGCGCCATTGCCCTCATCGGCTATGGCAAGTGGCTCGTCAGCAACGGTTATGCTGATACTGCCAAGAGCATCATCTGGCCCATTGTGAAGAACGACCTTGCCTACACTGCCCAGTACTGGAACAACACCGGCTTCGATCTCTGGGAGGAGGTCAACAGCTCTTCTTTCTTCACCATTGCCGCCTCCCACCGTGCTCTCGTTGAGGGTTCTGCCTTTGCCAAGTCCGTCGGCAGCTCTTGCAGCGCTTGCGATGCCGTTGCTCCCCAAATTCTGTGCTTCCAGCAGAGCTTCTGGTCCAACAGCGGCTACATCATCTCCAACTTTGTCAACTACCGCAGCGGCAAGGACATCAACTCCGTCTTGACTTCCATCCACAACTTCGACCCCGCTGCCGGTTGCGATGTCAACACCTTCCAGCCCTGCAGCGACCGTGCTCTTGCCAACCACAAGGTTGTCGTTGACTCCATGCGCTTTTGGGGTGTCAACTCCGGTCGCACTGCCGGTAAGGCCGCCGCTGTCGGTCGCTACGCCGAGGATGTCTACTACAACGGTAACCCCTGGTACCTCGCCACTCTCGCCGCCGCCGAGCAGCTCTACGACGCCGTCTACGTCTGGAAGCAGCAGGGTTCCATCACCGTCACCTCCACTTCCCTCGCCTTCTTCAAGGACCTCGTCTCCTCCGTCAGCACCGGCACCTACTCCAGCTCCTCCTCTACCTACACCGCCATCATCAACGCCGTCACCACCTATGCCGACGGCTTCGTCGACATCGTTGCCCAGTACACTCCCTCCGACGGCTCCCTGGCCGAGCAGTTCGACAAGGACTCGGGCGCCCCCCTCAGCGCCACCCACCTGACCTGGTCGTACGCCTCCTTCCTTTCCGCTGCCGCCCGCCGCGCCGGCATCGTCCCTCCCTCGTGGGGCGCCGCGTCCGCCAACTCTCTGCCCGGTTCCTGCGCCGCTTCCACCGTCGCCGGTTCCTACGCCACCGCGACTGCCACCTCCTTTCCCGCCAACCTCACGCCCGCCAGCACCACCGTCACCCCTCCCACGCAGACCGGCTGCGCCGCCGACCACGAGGTTTTGGTAACCTTCAACGAGAAGGTCACCACCAGCTATGGCCAGACGGTCAAGCTCGTCGGCAGCATCGCTGCGCTCGGCAACTGGGTCCCCGCTAGCGGCGTCAGCCTGTCGGCTAACCAGTACTCTTCTAGCAACCCGCTTTGGTCCACCACTATTGCGCTGCCCCAGGGCACCTCGTTCACGTACAAGTATGTCGTCGTCAACTCGGATGGATCCGTCAAGTGGGAGAGCGATCCTGACCGCAGCTATGCTGTTGGGACGGACTGCTCCTCTACTGCGACTCTTGATGATACGTGGAGGTAAATCGCTTGCTTCGTACTAGGTAGTAGTAGTGATTGGGAAAAGGAAATGAGAGAATGGGAACGGGAACGGGAATTTGTGATTACAAAGTGTAAAATTGACAGGCCTAGGGTTTGGTTAGATGCATAAGGGGGGAGGGGGGCTAGGAAACGGAAAGTTGCATATCAACCGAGGAAGAAAGAAAGGGAAGAAACGAAAGGGAAGAAACGAAAGAAAGAAGGGAAAACAGGACTTCAATTCTCACAACAGCATCAGCTACCTGGGCATCATTGATTTCTCTTAGAATGCTTGTGTCCTTTCAGTTTTCTTCCCCCTTTTCTTTTCTTTTCTTGTCCGTCTCTTACACCTATTTCCAGCCAAAGTCCCCACAGATACAAACTTTTTGTTAAATCTTCTCTGTATCAAAATTGACATTTTCAGCGTTAAGAAAGACAGTGGCAAATGTAATAATCATTCAAATCAATCAACCACACACACACAAGTTTCATTGTGCAGAAGTGGAGTAGAGAAAATAAACTATGGGTTTATATTTACGAGCTCTGGACAAAACGTCCAACAAGTCAAGCTTCAAAGGTCCGCTGGCTCAATGGCAGAGCGTCTGACTACGAATCAGGAGGTTCCAGGTTCGACCCCTGGGTGGATCGAGTTGCAATTTGGTACGTTTAGTACCAAAATCCCTTTAATTTTTTTTTTGGCCCTGAGTCATGTGCAAGACACCCCTGATCGGGTCTGTACTGAACTGCTTGTGGTGCGGTGCTGTGGTTTTGGGATGTAAGGAATCAAGGGAGGAACTGCCATAATGCCATGCTTTTTGTTCAACATATGTGTAGATGTCTTGGATGTCGAAGTTACTAATTCGTAAGGGTTTGTAAAAAGTGACTTCGTAAACAGATCATGTTTCGCTTTGTTTTTTCGCATCTGCAAATGAAAGGCGCTTTTTCAGTATAAGATACTTAACAGGGTGTAATCGGTAGGTGCCAGTAGCATGATTGGTCAATAGGTAGTTCGGTATATTCTGAAGTACGCCCAAAATCGTTTTTATATCCTTTTGCCCGCTTACCCATTCCCTTCACAAGCAACGCTTTAGTTGCCGTGGTATATATGCTTTGTCAAAAACCCTCCAAAAAAAACCAGAGAGGAGGCATTATATAATACATGAGATTGTTAAAGAGACCTGTGAACGCCGTTTTTTGTTCCTGCGCGGGGGGGCGGGCATATGTTGCATACAATTCGTTTTGTGTTGGATGTTGTACACGGGGCTTATTACAGTCGAGCCCCCTTTTCCTCTTTATATCTTCTTTTTCGGTTTCCCTGGCTATATCTTGAGCCCCATATATTGAACATTCCTTTCTTCATGGGCTTGTTCTCATGTCGTGTCATGACATGACATCTCAGGGTATCCTGCCCTGCTAAGCCCATGCCAAGAATCTCTGCTTAGCCCTTTTCCGGTTGTTGGATGAAACAGAAAAAAACATTTATTTGTTCTTGACGACGCCGACCTGGGCAGGGCGGAGGACGCGGCCGTTGAGCTTGAAGCCCTTCTGCTGGACGTGGAAGACGACGTTGTGCTCCTTATCGGGCATGGGCGCCATGAAGGTGGCCTCGTGCTCGTTGGGGTTGAAGACCTCACCCTCAGGTTCGATGCGCTCGAGACCGTGCTTCTTGAGGGTCGAAAGGAGGATGCTCTCGGTCATCTTGAGACCCTCGTAGAGGTTGACGAGGTCCTTGAGGTGCTCAGACTGCTCCTCCGACTTGAGCTTGTCCTGAGGAACCACGCTCAAGGCGCGATCGAAGTTGTCGACGCTTTCAACAAGGTCCTTGGCGAACTTTTGAATGGCAAAGTCCTTGGCCTGCTTGACATCGCGGGCGGTGCGCTCCTGGAGGTTGCGGAAGTCGGCGACGGTGCGAAGGCACTTGTCCTGTAGAGAGGGGCATCCCGTGTAAGTGACTTGTCCATCATAGCTGTACATGCATATGCTTTGAAGCTCAAGAACCCACCTTCCACTCGCGGGCCTCGGCGTCCTTGGCCTCGAGCTGCTTCTTGAGGGCAGCAACGACATCATCGGTCTCACCCTCCTTCTGCTCGGCGCCCTCGTCGGCCTTCTTCTCACCCTCAGCCTCGGCGCTGTACCACCGGGCGGCGGAGCGCAGCTGGGGAGCAGCTGTCCGGGCAGCTTGCATCTGGAAGATCTGGGAAGCAATAGGGCGCTGGGCGGCAACGCGGGCGCCGGAGCAGAGGGCTCTGGAAGAGCGGGTGAGGGCTGTTCGTAGCATTTTGGCTGGGTATCTGGATGTGACGGGTGGTGAGATGTGGCGATGTCAAAGACAAGGAAGCGTCGCGTGTTGAGAGAGGCACTTTCTCAGAAATTTTGAGACAGCTGCGCTAGCACGGGACGGAGACGGCATGGACGGGCGGCGGGTTGGGCGGGCCAACAGGGGACTTCGCAGTGTCTCCCACAGTGGGATGGTGGGAGGGTGGGTGCTGCTGCATCAATCCTGTGAGCCGGCTGGGCGGGAGCGAACCGAAAAGCGGGCCATGAACGGACCGCTCAAAATCGACAAATTGCCTGCCGGACCATCGAGTTTTGCTCAAATCGACGGTTGGAGCTTCGACAGCGCCCCGGGTGTGCCTGGCGGGGCTCTTTTGTGCGGGGAGTCGAGATGGACCTGGCTCCTACTCTGTTAAAGACACGCCGTGGAGTTAGCTAACGCCAGGTCATGTGAAGATAAGGCCAGCTTAATCCTGGTCACTTTGTCTGCCCGCTGCGGCCTCAGCCAGAGGCAAGGTTGAATTCCAGATTGGCGACTGGCCGCAGTCCTAGGTGGTGGCGCCTCCGAACCTCGACCCGTCAACGCGCCGGAAACCGAAATCAGTCCGCAACTTGCATTTCGCATCAACCGGCCCTTAACAAAGGCCACCTCAACCTCAACTCACCCTGCCCAGAACCACAATTTCCTTGAACCGTTTCTCCCCCCGCATCCGAATACCTCATACACCACAAAACGTACCATCGAGAACTGCCGATTGTAGCGAGAACAACTGACCGACCGACGGTCAACACGCAAAGATGGATTACGATCCGATGGTGATGGACGACGCCGAGTCCCTGGGACCGGTCGTCAAGATCTCACAAGTATGTTCTGTGTGCTCTTGCTCACAGCAATTGCGCTCAGCTGCTCGTTCATCGTTCTAAACCATCATTCTAGGCGGACAACACCCGAGTCAAGTTTGAGCTTTCCAACACCGAGCTCAGCTTCGCCAACTCCCTTCGTCGCGTCATGCTTGCCGAGATTCCCACGATTGCCATCGATCTAGTCGAGATTGAGGCTAACAGCTCCGTTCTGGCGGACGAATTTATTGCCCACCGCCTGGGCCTGATCCCACTCAATGCCGAAGGAATCGAGCAGCTTCTGTATTCTAGGGACTGCGACTGCGACGAATACTGTGAGCATTGCAGTGTGACCCTCAACCTTCACGCCAAGTGCACTGGCGACGACATCATGCAAGTCTGTGCCCGCGATCTTGTTCCAGTCGGCGATCGCGTCAACCAAGTTCTCGGCTCGCCTATTATCAATGATCCTGAAGGCCAAGGTCCCCTCATCCTCAAGCTTCGTCACGGGCAGGAGATCAAGCTCCAATGCATTGCGAAGAAGGGTATTGCAAAGGAGCACTCCAAGTGGGCCCCAAGTGCCGCCATCGGCTTTGAGTACGATCCTCACAACAAGCTGCACCACCTCGACTTGTGGTACGAGCAGGATCCCAAGAAGGAGTGGTAAGTACATTCGTTACATAATCTCATTTTCTCCGATTCCCTTTAATGTGACCGATTTCTCACCATATTTTTCTTACTAGGCCTCCTTCGGAGTACGCCGACTGGGAAGAGCCTCCCCAGGAGGGCGAACCGTTCGATTACGATGCAGTACCACAACGCTTCTACTACAACGTCGAAACCGCCGGTCCTATTCCCCCTGATGCTATTGTCACTGAAGGCATCAAGGTCATCCAGCAGAAGCTGGCTGGCTTGATTCACGAACTTACCGAAAGCGATGGTGGTGAGAACGGATACAACGGACCGCGCAGTCCAGGCTACAATGAAGGTGGCGACAACTGGAACGACCAAGGATCATTCACGCCATATGGAAACGGAGGAAACCAGAGCTCTTGGGGAGGTCAGGGAGGTACCACGCCCTACGGAGCGACTCCCTACGGAGGCGGCCAAAATCCTTGGTCTTGAGCATCATATGCTTACAGTTTGCGATTTGCGACGTCGATTACTCCTCCTGATGGCTTGCGAGGTCATTGCGCCTGTCTTTTTCGGGAGGTTTTGGGTATCTGCGGTATCTTTGCGGCGCGGGTTTTAAGCTGCGCACTTCGATTAACAACACCACACTTTCACTATTCAAGCAAGATGCCGATTCGCATTTCTATACACACACTCGCGCCATCATCACCAACTCAGCATCTACTTAGTAATTGTGGCGCCTCCGTTCCTTACTGCGGGGACCGTAACTCAATCACTCTTCGTGGCTGAGGCCCACGGAACGGATCAGGGCCAGATATCGGACTTTGGCGTCAGGCACGAGCCGCCACACGTCAAGGCCAATTTTGGGGGAAACCGGGAAAAGGGAAATCTGAGAGCTGGAGCTTGAAATTAAAGGAGAGGAGATAGGCGCATTCTGAAGGAATTCAAGTCAGGGCGAGAGAAAATCAGAGCATATCTTATTTGAGCGTCCCTCGCCCAGACACCACATATACTAGGCAGCGGAACGAGGACAGCTTTCTCTGTTATTGGCGCCCTGCAAATGATCTATCGCACAATTGCGAGGTATAGACAAAAGGTGAATATAGTTGCCCTGGTCTGGCGACTACATAGGGGACGAAAATACCCAAAAACATTCATAAGCGGTTCGAAAGTGCAAGGTTCATAAATAATCAAGATGCCATTCTTGCCGGTTGCTGGAGTCTAGTAAGCACTTGCTGCTCTGGTCTATTTGCTTTACACAACTCTATGGGAAACACCAAACTCCCAGGGTAGAACTACATGAAGCCAAAACACCATTGTCGAAATGACAGCCCTACCGCCGCTTCAATGCCTGACGGATGAGGGAACATCTAACAAAGGAAACCTATGAACAAGAAGAAAAATGAGGCGTCGCGATCTAGGTCCTGACAAAAAGACCACCATTCGACCTTTGAAATGCAGAGTTCCTCTATACAAATCCGTCCATTATGTCCCCACCCACAACCAAGACCCGACCACTTTTGATTGAAATGCATTTGAAAACCCGCTGTTGCTGCTGCTGCTAGTCCGTCTATGCAGTAGACTCCCAAGACTGGACATGGGAGGACAGGTGAAGAAAGAAAAGAGAGATTAGAAAAGGTAGGTAGCCAGGAAGAGGAACAAATGACAACTCATTCCTCAATGCCCTTGACCTTCTTGTACATCTTCCGATGGCCCTCCAAGAAGATGAAGGTGCAAATCGTTTGTCTGTCCGTGTCAATACCTCGTTAGCACAATCATATCCATGAAACTTTTGCGGAAGACCACATCCATAAAGGCAAAGGGGAAAAAAAAAAAAAAAAAAAGAGGGAATCAACTTACGGCCCCAACCTCAAAAAACTCGGCACCCATCCCTTAAACATCCACCTCACTCCTTCCTGGGCATACAAGCTTCCCAGCACCTGCCCGATACTGCTCTTCCCGCTCGCGCTCATGACCCGCGTCTTGACCACATCAATCGGGCTCGTCACCGTCGCCGCCGCCACGCCCGCCAGGAAGCTGGCGCTAAAGTGCGTCGCCAGGTTATCCTCCAAGGGCGTATGTCTAATCAAGATGCGCTTAAACACATCGTAACTAGCCAGCTGGCTGGCCGTCATGGCGGCCGCCCTCGCACTATTGGGCCAAACACCCCTAAACCAGCTCCGGAACCCTTCCTCGCGCGTCATCCGCGCCAAGCCGTCGATGGCGTGCGCGTAGTTGCGTCGTTGCGCGGGGGGCAGAGCGGCGTCGTGCTGCATCCGCACGTTCAGCACGTCGGCTACGTTCCCCACCAAGCCGCCGGCTACGCCGGAGACGGTGGCCATGGCGATGAGCAGGGGGAAGGAGGCCGGGTGGTCTTTGGTGGTGAAGCGGGTTTTGAGCTCTTCGTAGATGCCGAAGCGCGTGGTCGAGTAGGTGATTTGGCGGAGGAGAGAGGCGGAGAGACCGTTGTAGAGGCCGGTGATGCCGTTGTGGCGGATGATGTGGAGGACGGTGCCGGACATGGTTTTGGGGGCGTCGCCGGTGCGCATCTGGAGGCGGACTTTGACTGTTTGAGGGGAGGGACACAATGGTGTTAGCCGTGGTGTTTCTTGGGCAGCTTGTGGTAGATGACATATTCGCTTCTAGGTAGGTCACGGGCAAAACTTACCAAGATCAAGAGGATGTGTGACGGTGGCAGCCATGCTGCTGGCACTTCCTCCGAACCAGAAGGGATAGTGTATTGTTTGTTGTTTGGACTTTTTGGTCTTCGTCGTCGTTGCCGCGACTACGGGCTTATCTGATGTCGTCGTCTGTTTGTCCATGATTGCTTGCGCCGCTGGCTTCGTAACTGACGCTGCCGCAGTCTGCTTGGAGTCCGAAGGCGAAGGTGAAGGCCCTTCAAGGCCAGTGGTGACAGCCTGCATTGTTGTTTATATGTACGAAGAGCCCACGAGGATTCTTGCCGATCAGGGGTCCGTTGTTCGTATAGGGGGCTTGTTATGGAACAGATGTGAAAATTGGTAGAAACGAGAGAATACCAGGAGGTTAATTGGTTACAGAGGCATTCCAGGTCAAGCAGCAATCCCTACTGTAGTTGATTGATATCAATGGACAAAAGATAACATGCAGAGTTGGATGCAGGGTCGAGGTACTCAATCTCGCATGTGTAGGTAGATGTATGCTGTGTTCGTCTGATTTTACACAGAAAGCAGGTCCCAGCCGAACGTCCGAGATGCAAAAAGTCAAGACGAGATGACGACAGGTATTTTACTGAACATGAACGTGAAAGAATGGAAACAAGAAGTGGGAACGACGGTGTGAAAGACGGACGGGACTGACGGAAAGAAAATGCTACCATGGTGTAAGCGGGCTCCATCGTCTAGACCGTTATCGGCGTAGCACCGCGGGCGTGTGATTCTGTTTTTTTTTTTTTCCTCTTCGGCCCCTAGAACACCGAGCAACGACCCTGAAAAAGCTGCTGAAAGTGGAAAAATTGATGACCGAGGCTCGAGCGAGGACAAAAGGAAGTTCCCCAGCACGATGTCATCATGCAGGACGTCACGCTTGGCGCCTTATGTCGACTGAAGCCCCATTGGCCCACTATAAGCTTTACACTACATACACTAGCAGATCTCCGGCCCGGGCATCGTAGCCGCAGCGTGGAGGGGAGGGAATTTTGAGCTTTGGGCAATTTTTGTGCTTGTCCCGTGGCTGAGTGGCCAGCAAGGTCCCTCCACACCCACACCCGATCCAATTGTTTACCTACTTTGGATATCGCGATCGCGACTCGACTCGTCCTATACATAGGTAGCAATGGCTGGACCACGAGTTCTCGCGGCCAATGTCGTGCGGGCTGTGCCTCGCATTGGGGCTCGCTCCCATGTGATGACGGCCTCTGCCACGGCTTCGCTTTTGCGACTCAGCGCACAAGCTGGACGCGCCAGACTGAGCTTGACCAGAGCTCCCCGCCATTGTCTCCGAGTAGCATCTTATTCCTCCTCTGCAGGTCAGCATAATATGTCTACTTAGCTTCCAGAAGCTCTAACCAGACTCGGACTCTAAACAACGCAAAACACAAAAGGTGGTGCTGCTAGCTCCCCTCCCCCACCTTCGACCCTCAACAGCTCGAGACCGGCGACGATCGAGGTCAATGGCAAGACCTACACCACCGACGAATGGTACAACGTCCCCCAGACCGTCCTCGCTCTCACCGGCCGCAAGCTTCATCTCCAGAAAGACCACCCCGTTGCCATCACCCGCCAGATCATCGAGTCCAAGTTCTCCACGGCCACCTACAAGCGCTACAATGAGTTCGACCCTGTCGTCAGCACCATCGAAAACTTCGACTCGCTCGGTTTCCCGCCAGACCACGTCGGCCGCGCTCGCTCCGACACCTACTACATCAACGAGACCACGCTCCTGCGCACGCACACTTCAGCCCACGAGGCCGAGCTCTTCCGCGCCAGCGCCTCGGACGGCTACCTGATCAGCGCCGACGTCTACCGCCGCGACGAGGTTGACCGCAGCCACTACCCCGTCTTCCACCAGATGGAGGGAGCCCGCGTGTGGGACCGCACCAAGGTGCCCAACGGCGACGTCGTGGCCGCCATCTACGCCGACCTGGCCAAGCTGCCCACGCACGACGTCAAGGTCGAGGACCCCAACCCGCCGCACCACCCGGAGCGCAACCCGCTGCAGAGCGAGCATCATAGCCCTGAGGAGGCCGAGGCCATCGCCGCCCACCTCAAGCGCTCGCTCGAGCTCATGGTCGTTGAGATCTTCACCCGCGCCAAGCAGGCCGCCGCTCGTCAGGATCCCAACTACGTCGACGAGCCGCTGCGTGTCCGCTGGGTTGAGGCCTACTTCCCCTTTACGTCGCCTTCGTGGGAATTGGAGGTGTACTACCAGGGTGACTGGCTTGAGGTGCTGGGCTGCGGTGTCAGCAAGCAGGAACTGTTCATCAATGCGGACCAGCCGCAACAGCTCGGCTGGGCGTTCGGTATTGGTCTTGAGCGCATTGCCATGCTGTTGTTCCAGATCCCCGACATCCGTCTCTTCTGGTCCAAGGATGAGCGTTTCCTGAGCCAGTTCACTGGCGTGCAGGACAACCTTGACAAGCTGAAGCGCTTCGTTCCCTTCTCCAAGTATCCGGCTTGCTGGAAGGATGTGTCCTTCTGGCTGCGGTCAACGTCCGCGGCGGGTGGAAACACTGCCGTGGCCAACGTGCATGACTTTCATGAAAATGACCTGATGGAGGTGGTGCGCGAAGTTGCCGGTGATGTGGTTGAAGACGTCCAGCTGAAGGACCAGTTCACCCATCCCAAGACGGGCAGGAAGAGCATGTGCTATAGAATCAACTATAGGAGTTTGGAAAAGACTCTGACGAATGAGGAGGCCAACGACTTCCATGAGCGGGTAAGGCAAGGATTGGTGGAGAAGCTTGGTGTTGAGCTTAGGTAGACACGACGTAGCAAAGACGATCGAGTGTATGATACGGTAGGTGTAGTTGACGTGTTTTATGTGGAAGACCATGGCCATGATATATGTATGGCTTCTTCTCTCCCCTGTCGGAAGATTTCTTTTTGTTATGTACGGTTTCCAAAACGTACTGCCACGAAGGGACAACCTTTTTTCCCCCCAACTTCTTGATAGTCTCCCACAACCACATCATACCTAG